GCTTCTTGGCATGCCATAGTTCTGGGGTGCAAAAGGCCCCTGAACTGCAGCACAGGGAAGCCCTTTGCAGCATGAAGCCCAGTCCCAACTGGACCCGTCAGTGCATCACAAAGCCAAAGTTGTATCCACAGCAACCTAATCCCAGTCCCCCTCACCACCCTGCACGAGTGACCACCCAATTGACCTTTGCCATCTTCTTGCTCACACAAATGAGGTATGCCATGCCTGGCTCTGGGTAAGGAAGCTGCTGGCCATGTGAGGCCATCTTCCCCAAATCTCGTAAGGAAATCACCGTGTGCAACCTGGAGAAGAAAGTGTTGTAGAGCCAGCAGTTGCCTCTCCAAGAATCAATCTTGGGACACCTTGTCAGCAGCAGGAGCAAGAATACGGTCAACTAGGGTAGCAAGACCCATGGAGTGGAGGGGGGCAAAAGGTCATAGACGGAGGAGAGACAGGCAAGTCAGGGGAACTGATGTGCCCCTTTGGTTGTAATTTGGGCTACCAGGTGCCCACATTTTGAACACATGACTGTGGAGGTGCTGTATGTGCTATAACTTCAGGAGCCAGTTACAATTCACTCTGTGCCACCATAACTTTGAACAGGTGTTGAACGAATTGTTGTAAGTCGAGTACTATTTGTGCAGTACCAACATACAACTTGTCCCTATTGGTCATTCCTTGCCTGTTGCCTGTTTAATTAAAGTAATCTGACTTCTTTTCAAAGTAGCCTATCCAATTGTCATGCCCCCATCAGAGTCTGAATCCCAGGGGAAAGATGAACAATTGACAGAGAGTGGGAGAGTGGCTTCATTGGCTGTGGAGGAAACTGGGAAAGGGCAAAGTCAGGCTGGGAAGAGCAGGGAAGAGGTAGAACAAGGGAGAGGGGGTTCAGAGGAAAACCAAGGCCCTGTTCATCCTAGGGCATGCAGGGAAGAACAGAAGAGAGCAATGGGGATTGCGTGGCTCATGAGGAAGGGCCCTGATTTCCTTTACAAGGCACACCTGGGGATGGAGTTTAAAGGACAGGCAGATGGGAGCGGCGGTTGTCGGGAACAAATGCTGAGTTCACCTAGTGTTGGCTGCTGTTATCTGAGTTCCTGGCATCCTCCCAACTGGTTTGATTTACTGCCGCGTTACTTCACTTTTGGAACTCCTTATCTTGTTCTGCCAGATTTATTACCTTATCTTGCCTTGTTGGATTTATAATTTGAAGTTTTCTGTTTATAACTATTGGACTGAAGTATCTGCAGCCAGAGGCTGTTGCAAGTTCATGGATGAGTTTTTCTCCAGACCGGAGAGTAACTGGGACGTTGGGGGCAAAGTTGGAGCTAATAAAGGAACTCATATTTATTCTCTGGCTGTGTTGCCTTTGTGCCATGCCACCAACTTTATATTCCTTGTGCCTTTTCTTTGAACCAAATTTGAGTAAGGGGAGGTAGGAGTGAACATACAGCTTTGAGACTTGTGCAGCTTAGAATGATTTAGGCCTGTCTCACTCCAGGGCTGGATAATGTTTCAAAGACAGTAGCAGAGAAAAATGTTGCCAGAGCAACTTTATGTCTTAGCTGAGTGTTAGTAAAGAAAATTCCATTTGAATATGTTTGGCTCAGTGCAATATCCTAAGATCTTGCAGATATTTTACAGTCCTTTCCTATCTGTCATTTTTCAGATTATAATTCTGGATTCAAAACATTTCCAACTGATGATACCACATTAATATTAGTACACTGAATAATTTGCTTCCCTTCATACAGATCTACCAGACGGGTGTATAAAAGATGAGTTCTAGTTTACAAAAGCTGTGGTCACCATACATTTTGGTGCAATCTTTCTATGTTCTTGACTAATATGGGGAATGATAAAAGCACAAAAAATGGAGATTGCTTATTGAAGTACTTTGAATGGGTACAATTCTTGGTAAAAGTATTCAGAGTTGTCAAAATCCCATACCGCCATCTAGAGGATAAGGAGTATAAAATCATGTTCCAGTTTCCATATTCAATAAGATTAATATAATTCATTTAAAACACAAAATACTTATTTTCCAAACAGGCTCCACATTGTTTTACTGAACCGATTTGACATTACACGAATATAAATGTGTGTCTTCCATTTCAATGAAAATATTTATCATCACGAAATACTATTAGCAGTCATTTAAAAAGAAGGAATAAGAAATTTTCAATCTTCAATTAAACCTTAGGAGATACTGTATGTGTAGCATAAACATCACTGAAATGCTGAAAAACTTTCCTCTTGTATCTTTGCATTAGCATTTAGAAATAACATCCTTGCTTGTTTTGAATCCTTTAATTATATAAAATAAATATACACCTCATTATATAACATACAGTTAAGGTCATAATATGACAAAGTGAAAATGCAAAATATCCCATAAAATCAGTATTATGAAAACAATATTTTAATCAAAACACTTTACACTTTGGGAAAGTTATTGGAGAGAGAAACTGCCATTTCGCTCCTTTGGATCTTTTGAGATATCCCAATTTGCACACTTAAAAAAAAAAAAAAAACTGGAACAGCAGGAGATTGCCACTCAGAAATTACCATTACCATAGTAGATACTTCAGTACTCCAGATACACTCCTGTTGGTTTAAGATCATAACCCACCCTTCTATTTTCAGGGTCCCCCAACAAGGCATTTGGAGGGAGGCAATCTACTTGTGGGCATTTCTTTTGGTGCCCACCAGATGCCCTACCTCCCAGATTGTTTCTGTTAAAGAAAACTACAGTAGTTTTACAGTGGAAAGCTAGCATGCTGGAAAGCAAAGGGCCAGCTCCCCTCATTCTGTGCTACATACAGCTTGTTCTTCTCCAAGTTAAAAATCCATCAAGGTGAGAAAAAAGACATTGACTTCTCTATCCTTCCACTACGTGGATGTTCTCCTACCCTGGATAAGACAGAAAGCTCTGTTCTACATGTCTGGCGAAGATGCTGAGTAAACTAGCATTGCTGGAACAAATACTCTCTTTCCATTAACTGGGTTTCCATGTAGGTTGTTTAGGAAAATCACTTCCAATGTGAGAAAGGGAGCAGATAGTTTCTTGATGGAATGAATATTATTTTTCCCTTATCTCCAGCTCTCTCAGATGGACTATTTTATACCTTTCTTCAGCAGTCAATTTAACTTTTGCATTTCAGAGAGAAGAAAAGGGGCACATTACCATATTCCAGCTATTCTTTTCACAGTCCACTTACTGAACTTGTGCTTTCTAATCACCCATAATAAGGCTAGCTGAAATATTTAAGACTTTTTTTGAGATCAAAAAGCATATCAGTGAATCACATACCAATTATACATCTATTGGAAATGCATAATGCCTCCTGATACCAGTTAACTAGTCATGTACTTTGTATTAACAGAGGGCAAGAATGCTGTTTTGCGTTAAACACTCCATATTTAAATTAATTCAGCCACATGTAAAATGATCTGGTATCATTAAAAACATTAGTTTGAACATCACTTGAATGTTAGAAGAATCTGTCATTGTGATCTCCTATATTTAAGTTTTCAACCTCTTTAATATTTTCTTAATGTGGGGGGGGGGGAGTTTGGGTAAGTTCTTATAACAAACAAACCGAATTAAATTCTCATGCACACCTGTTCTAAGGTAGTTAATATGAAACAAATTATAGAGGCTCAAAATAGTTTTTTTTAAATAACATGTTTAAATATTTACTAACACTTTAACATGTATAAAATGAAAATAAGAATAATATGCAAGAGGTGAATACTGGGTTTCACTCTTACTAAGGACTAAATTGTTTAGCCACTGAGACAGTTGTACTTAAACCTTTATTATATATTTTCTTTCTATTCCATTCAAAATAAACAATGTTGGAAGGCCCTGCCTCAGAAAATTATATACTATTGAAATACTTCAAACATTTCCCAAATTTGGCTGGAATTATGGTAGGTGCAATCCAACAAATCTGGACAGCTAAAGGAAGTCTGCATCAGAAAATCATGTTGGGATATCTTGTGCACAAAACACACACAGAACACAGGGGAAGAACTGGCAATGATGCAATCCTCCCTGGTGAGTGCTTAATTTCCAGGAATGAATAATTGAGCCAAAGGAAAAAAAAAACCCAACAACCATCTTGATGGAAAGTGACCTGCTCAGTCAGATTTCAAAACATTGCTCTTGAGAAGAAATATGCGTGCAAAAACAGCACTGCCTGAAAAAATGAACATTGAAAAAGTTTAGCCATTCCATATTTCAATTATCACTCTCTGCAAGCTTTCAGGATAAGCATGCACCCTCATCTTATACACCTCGCACTCCTGCGACCCTGTTTTTTTTTTTTTTAAGTTGAATATAAACAAACCTCTCCATGAACAGGAAGTCTAAAAGGGATGGTCCCTCAAGACGGGAAAGCATGTGAATATCTTAAACTGAATCTGCAGGCGCTAATTGCTCAATGCACAAAGAAATTCGCATACTGTATGCATTACAAAACGCTGGGGGTGGGGAGGAATGTATGTATCTTAGCTCCTAATAAAACTAAGCCTCTATTTGAGTGTTTCTCAAGCTTAGCAACTTTAAGATGTGTGGAATTTGCAGAATTCTGGGAGTTGGAGTCCACACTTCTTAAAACTGTCAAGGTACTGAATGTTTGCACAGATCTATTATCTGAACCCACCAAAGCAGAGACTGCAACATCCCCCGCCTACCTACCCTTTTGGGCTGAGCATCCTTAGCAACCTTAGAATAGTCGCATTAAGCTGCACTATTCCTTTATTTCAGCAGATATACATGTGCAAGAGCTTTCCAAAACAGTACAGATGGTCCTCAACTTACAACAGTTCACTTGTGATCATTTGAAGCTACAACAGTACTGAAAAAAGTGATTTATGACCATTTTTCACACTTATGACCGTTGCCGCATCCCCATGGCCATGAGATTTACATTCGGATGCTTGACAACTGACTCACATTTATGACAGCTGTAGTGTCCCAGGGTCACGTGATGCCCTTTTGTGACTTTCTGTCAAGCCAAGTCAGTGTGGAAACCAGAATCACTTAACAAAAGTTAACAACTGCAGTGATTCACTTAACAAATTGGCAAGAAAAGTTATAAAATGGGGCAAAACTCACTTAACAAATTTCCCACATAACAACATAAATGTTGGGGTCAATTGTGACTGTAAATTGAGGACTACCTGTATGGCTTCCACAACTTGGCTTTAATGCTATAATAAGTAAACTGACATTTTACAGTGAAAAAAATAAATTCAAGTTTTGCTAGAAGCATCAATACCAGATCCACCTAGCTCATTGGGCAGAAAGAATGGCTCACTACGATATCAGAATGAACTGATACATTATCTGGAAAGTCAGCCTTCTTATGACATTGCATGGTGGCCAGGAACCACGCCTCTTAGGAAACCCTTACAACCTTCAATTCTAACGCAGGGGACTTCTTAATTTTCTTTTCCTTCATTATTTGGTGAGACAGTGTGCTTAAAAACCACTCCAAATCTTGATGGTCTTCTGGCCATCTCAAATACTGCCCCCTTTGCAAAAAGGCCCTGATTGGTTGATATTTCATAAGCTGATATTGAGAAAGAGATCCAGCTACCACCATTATAAGAATATCCTCCAGATCGGAGAAGTACCTGCTCTGGGCAAAATTAAAGGCTTCCACACACCAGCCATCCTTGAGAAACTGTCTTGTGACCACGCAAATTGTTTTCCTGCAGTTCCAGACAGCATCATGAATATTACTGATATGATCCTCCCCAGGCAAGAAGTCTCTGTCTTCAAAGCAGAGCGCAAACCTGTTCTTCTTAGAAAACTGAGAATCTAGATGTGTTATCAAGGAACTTTGGACCCACTCAAAGTCTTTACTGCTATAGCAAAGGTAAGCATCATACTTGTATCCCTGTTGATCCACTTCTGGTGGGAGCTCCTTCATGAGGAATTGTGTGAGTGTTTTATACCAGCGGAAACAAACTCCTCTAAAACGAGTAAAAACAACTACCGCTACTAGAAACACAGTTATGCTAACACAGGTCAAAATGAAGAGTGACAGCTGTAGAGGCTCCATGAGCTTGTGTTCATTGCAGTTCTCTGTATCTAAGACATGGAGAGGAACGTCAGCGAACTCCGGTGGTCCAGAACAAAATATGTCGTTGCGTGAGCCATCTAAAGTAACATTGGTTTGGTTTAGCCACATAATAAAGTTGCTTAATAGGCAATTACAGTAAAATGTGTTATGGGTGATATCCAGCTGGTCTAATGTTGCAAAGAGCTGAGGATCAGGGTAAAATAGCTGATTTGATGACAAATTAAGAAATTTCAGGTTTGTAGGAAAGGCATCTTGAGAAATGGAAGTCAATAGGTTGTTAGACAAGTCTAGTGTCTTGAGTGACATTAGCTCACTAAATATACCCTCTGGGATGAAAGTAAGGTAGTTGTTATTGAGATAGAGAATTTCCAGGTGGGAAAGTGCTTTGAACACATCCAAGCATAAACCTCTCTCCCATATAAGCTTTAGCATGTTGTCTCCAAGGTCCAAGTAAATCAACTGATTGTCTTTTGCTATGTCTTTATATTTGAAGCAATAGGATAAACGATTATTTTTTAAAGCAAGATACTTCGGGCCTGGAAATTGGAGAAGTTCATAAAGATCACCCAGATTTCCCAATCTGTTTCCTTTCAAGTCAAGGAGTGTGGCATTTATAAATTGTACTTTCCAATAAGATGTAGTCTGTATCCGGTTGTCACCTAACATAACATTGATGAGATTTGGGAGAGAATCTATTGTTTTTAAAGCGTTATCCCTGAGATCCACGTGTTGAAGCTTTGGTAAGGATTTGAATGGATCTCTATCAATCACTCCAATGTGATTATGTCTTAGATCTATCTGATTCACATTAGGAAGACCTTCAAAAGTGTACTTAAAGAGCTCACCAAGCAGATTGTTTGATAGGTATAGATGCTGCAGATTCTGAAGACCAAGAAATGCTCCGTTCCAAATTTTATTTATTTTATTATTATTTAGATTCAGCAGCTTCAAATCATGGAAATATTGAAATATTTGTGGTTGAAGAGACAAAATCCAGCCGTTTGATATATCAAGAAGGATGAGGCCACTGTCATTAAGACCTGCAAATGTATTATTATCAGGATCGGGAAGATTATTAAATCCAAATGATGCACCCAAACCATGAAAGGAAATATTCAAACCCAACAATGGGGACCCTCTAATAGCTGCACAGAATCTCTGTGTTAGAGTTGTACCCCAGCCATTACCCCCAACATCCAGTGTTTCTATGCTAACATTTTTTAAAGGATTCCCACAAGTTGCCCAGTTCACATATCTTGTATACAGATTAGTACTACGAAGAATAAAGATTTTGAACCTTGCTTCTTGGAAACTATTAAGATCCCCTTCACAGATAGATGCAATAGGGTTTAATTCCAAGTCTAGAATGTCCAAGGATTTCATGTTATAAAATACACTGTGAGGGCGAACATGAGTGATTTCATTATATTTGAGGTCCAGATATTCCAATGAAATCAAATCTCTGAGGTAATCCTCTTCCAGAATGGATCTATCAAGATTATTTTGATACAGTTGAAGAATACGTACTCTAGACAAGCCCACAAAAGCATCAGGGTCTAACACTATCACTTTGTTGCCACCCAAATCCAATTGTTGTAAGTTTGGCAAGTTCCTAAAAGCATCTTTTCCTATGGTTAAGGGAAAGCGTTTTTGTGTCCCAAGGAATAAAATCTTCAGTTTTTCCCTCAGAGGGAAAGAGGTTGCATTAACTTCTTGGATGAAATTGAAGTTTAGGAATAGAATAACAACATCTTCAGGCACAGGTGGCACCCACGTGAGATTGCAGAAATTGTAGAAAGCTATCGTGTTTTCCACTGAGCAGCTACGACTTGCGAGTATTTCTTGGCACACAAGCACTGTTCCAACAACAAATATCATGTAGTAACAAAACATCGTGCTCTCAATCTGTGCCTAGGGGAAAAGGATGGGGAAAAGAAAAGCATTATCTTTTGCATTGGACTACAGAATCTGAATTAAACATAACAACATAGGTTATATATAGAGATCAAAGCTGATCTAATTTTTTTTTTTAAATGTTATTATGAATTCATAAAAAAGGATGCCATGTTAGAAGTGATCCTGCTTGTTTTCCCTTGCATCTTGTTTACATCCCTTGGTTATACAAAGTATGCTACTTTGGAAAAAGGGAAAATTCTGCATTTTCATTACATCCTAAGAAGAACATTATTAAATGGTGTTTTCCTATTTTCCACAGAAATAAATTATATTGTAGCTACCAGTCACACTTTTCATGTCATTTTTGAGAGGAAGGCAGAGAAAAAAGATCTCAAACCCATGGATGTGCCACTTTTTTGAGCTCAGAGTTTCATTTGTCTACAAAACTACATCTGATTTACTTTCAATATAATGTAATTTGAATTAGATGCAGTAGTTATTCTCCCCACAAGTTTGATAATTTTTCTAGTTCTGATGGACACAAAATTGCACAAAATTGCTGACTTTTCAAAGAGCCTGGAGATCTATTTTCAGGACTTCCAGGAATAACATTTAACTCTGGAAACACAAGTTGTGGACCTGTATTTCATAGTACATTTGTTATTGTTATGTCCAGACTTTCTGAACAAGTAATGCCTAGGAGAAAATGTAACTCCGGGATGTCCTAACTATAAACCACTCTGATTAATTTTCTAAATTCGCAAAAAAGCCACTCATCCAAGATTTATTAAATTGCATTTGGTTTTGGACAATTCACAAATACTTGTACCTATCTAAGCCTTATTTAATTATTTGGTGGATAAACAAGATAAACGGTCTTCCATGCCGACACCACAGCAGGTCACAAAGCTAAACAAGTTTAATAATTTAATAGAACACCACTAAAAAATCTGAGGGCTGAAGAGTAATTTGGGAAGTTATAAAAACATCCTTTAAAAAAGGCAATAGCCCACTTCTATGCTATTGCCAAGAACATTGCCACTAGGAGTTGGATTTTACTTGAGGGAAATGTGGTGTTTTGGTTTTTTTAACTTTTGAGGGCATCTGCTTTTTTGTTGTTTTGTACTTGAATAACAGAATAACAGAGTAGGAAGGGATGAGGTGTTCTAGATGCTGTTCAAACAGTAAACCCTGTACTGTTTCTGACAAATGATTGTCCAGTCTCTTAAAAACCTCCAGTGTTGAAGCAACCACAACTTCTGGCGGCAAGTCGTTCCACTGATTAATTTGGTTCTTCCCTATCAAAACATAATCCTAAAACTCCAGGGAGATTTCTAAATTCCCAAAGCTTTCGCTGCTACCATCAACCCTTTCCTGATTTGGAAATAGTTTTCTTTTCTCCTCTGTTTCTTTCTCTATAAAGATGTCATTTGTTGGAATGTGGAGAAGGCATAACCAGAATCACTTTTTAGATACAACATTTGACAGTGAATCAAATGAATTGTTATATAATTTGAAAACAGAATTATTAATGTGAACACATAAAATTATAACTTATGATAACTTCAGCATCTTCCCCCTGGAATTAACTAGTGACAGTTCTGATAACCCAATCATCACAGAGCCTTTATCATATGTAATAATCATATATCTTGCACCCTCTCAGTCTTTGATACAAATGAAAAGCACTGTGAACTTCCAGCTAATATTTTGGTTGATAGCAAACATCCTATCCAAATCTCTCTCCTTCAGCTCAGCCACACGTTTGCATATACTACGCTTCTTAACTGACTGGCATTTTCTGAGCGCCCTCTTACCCATCTTTATTTCCTTGTGCAAGTTAGACAAAGACTTACACAATTCATGATAACAACGATCTAGTTGAAGCCTCCTCCGCAAGATTTACCTCTGTAAGGAAGAGACTTCAGCTCACAATTTCTTAACAGAGAAGATGAGGGGATAGAGAACTACTGTCTTGAATGCTAGTATGTGAGGTGGAGGACTGTTTCTCATGACCTATATTCCCCTTCTTTGTTCTTAACAAAGCTTTGCCACCAGAAATACAATTCAAGATTCCTGATTCCCACATGGAAGATACATGTGGTTTGAATGCCTTCCTAAAATGCCTTAGATAGATTACAGCACTGAAAATATGAGTTGAGTCTCCCCACCTCCAAAAAAACCCCTCTTATGAAAAGAGGAACATTTATGTTCTGCTCAGCATGCGTAACTGACAACTTTGCAGAAGTCCACAACAGATATCCAGCGGTATTGGAATGCTGCTAGCTTAATGTCCCACAGAAGAACAATCTGCAAATGGAGATGAGAGGCACACCATACATAGCCAGTTATTTCTGTTTGTTCAAAGTCGTCCACCTTTGCTTAAGCAACAAGATAGTTAGTACAATCTGCCCTCTTGCTCATAGTGTTGTGTTGTAGTTTGAATCAAAATGACAGAAGAATGACATAGATCTACATTTTATGCAGATCAATGAACTTAAGAATGAAACACAGCAGATTTGAATCAAGGAGTGAGGTCATGCTATATCACTTTCTTCCACAAAGAGTTGTTTTTCCAGTTTCAAGTTTTTTCCATCGTAGCGATGAAGAAATTTGCTTCACTAATATACGTCAATTCATAATAAAGCTAATCTCACCAGACTTTTTTATTGAAATCCCCCCCTTTCCCTTTTAGATTTCAAATAGGAATCACCCTTTTTTAACACATTCATCTGAGAACTTGCAAAGGGGGAAAACATTCAAGGAGAACATGGAGTTGAAAATTGATCAGCAGGGAAAGGCTTCAGTCCTTTCACTCTCTACCCTTCACTCTCTACCCACTATGTTGGTTAAAAACCATAACCCGATAAGCTGATTTTCTAATAAAATAAAAGTGTCATTTGTATGTGGTATGCCTCAGGCTTACATTATAATAATTTTTTCTGGTAAGAAAGTGGCAATGAGAATTATCATTAAAGCTGCTCAAATTTGACAATAAAAAAAGGAGGAACACAGTCTGTTTTCTCTCATATCCAAACATGAGTAAGAAAGTAATTTATGTCTAAAAGCTTATAATTTTAAAAAAAGATGAGGGTGAAAAAAGAAAGGCTTTACATCCCATGTAGAAAGATCCACGGAATGTATATTTTTTCTCATGATTGCATGCCAGGTCACTAATTTATAATAATCAGGACTGAAATTTATGAAATTTGTTAATATTTGTTGTGATGAAGATGGTAAGTCACTTCTTTATATATTTTTTCTTTCTTTTCTGTTTTATTATTTATTATCTATCTATCTATCTATCTATCTATCTATCTATCTATCTATCTATCTATCTATCTATCATCTATCTATCATATATGATGAGTGGTGGTGGTGCAGTGATTAGAATGCAGTATTGCAGGCTATTTCTGCCGACTGGCAGCTGCCAGCAATTCAGCCATTTGAGTCTCACCAGCTCAAGGTTGACTCAGCCTTCCATCCTTCCCAGGTCAGTAAAATGACCCAGATTGTTAGGGGCCATATGCTGAACATACACTGTAATGTATGTAGAGAGGGCTGTAAAGCACTTTGAAATGGTATATAAGTCTAAGTGCTATTGCAATCTATCATCTCTATTTATTCTATCTATCCATCTATCCATCTGTCCATCTATCTATGTCTATTTGTCTGTCTGTCTGTCTGTCTATCCATCTATCATCTATCTCTCTCTCTCTATCTTCTATATACCATGAGCCACGGTGGTGTAGTGGTTAGAGTCAGGGGTAGGATGCTATCGCTTCGGCCCAGTTCTATAGAATTGGTAGCTCTGAAGAGCAGCAGACACTGAACCAGTTCGCTGCAATGACCTTTTGGTCATCTTTTGGTTTGGCCCACCTGCCCGCCCAGGCTCTTGGCTGTCCTTTATTTCCTGCTTTTTCAACCTCAGCTGCTTTGCGTGGCACAGCTGAGGTTGAAAAAGCAGGAAAGAAGAGGCTTTTCAAACGCTGTGCACCAGTGCGCAGCGCTTGTCAGCTGTCCAGGCGGCACAGCTGATGGTTTTTTTTTGCAAATGCTGTACATGCGCACACAAAACCCACTCTCACTGAACCGGTAGTAACACCGGTTGAATCCCACCCCTGGTTAGAGTGCAGTACTGCAGGCTACTTCTGCCGCAGCCAGCTTGCAATTTGGCAGCCTGCAACCTCACAAAGCTCAAAGTTGACTCAGCCTTCTATCCTTCTGAGGTGGGTAAATGAGGATCTAAATTGTTGGGGGCAATATGCTGACTCTGTAAACTGCTTAGAGAAGGCTGTAAAGCACTATGAAGCGGTATATAAGTCTAAGTGCTATTGCTATTGTTATCTATATGCCATCTTTATTATTTTTATGTATAACTTATGGCAGTGAACATATCCAACATATCTTCCTCTCCTATTTTCCCCACCAGAACAGCTTTTTGAGGTGAGTTGGGCTAAGCAGACTCCCCCTTTCTAGCCTGGTGCCTCAACAAAATTGGTTATTCTTTCATAATTTAAAAATTTGTATTATGTTTTACCACTGTAATAATAATCTTTGATAAAATTGTTATAATTGTTATAAAAAGAAAATGGAAATATATTTTTGAGAAAGAATATTCAAAGTAGGTCAACTATGATAAAAATCACCCTTTTAACATCAAGTAATGCTAGCAAACTCTCTCCGGCTGTCTTAAAGCAGTGGGAGTCAATATCAAGCAAATACTGCCCAGGGAGTTAATATAAAAGTTGCAATATGGAAAAGCAAAGTCAGTCAACAGTTCTTTTTAATCCCTTTCTAAATTGGCAGATGATTCATAAACTGCTTCTGAGTTGCTTCTTGTTCACAGTTGCTTTGATAATCTCAGAGAGGAAGAGGCAGCCATTCAGGAGGACCAACAACTGGGAGTCAAAGGATTGCTTGAGATACTGTCAAGCAGTCAAAAATGTTACCCACACAACAGAGGGAAAATGGCAAATAAAAGAAGATGGACTTGCAGTGGGATTATTGTTATAATGCACCAGAAAAAGGTTGAGACCTTTGACCTAACAGTGCTTACAAGCATAGAATTTCTGCAGGGCTTTTCTTTGAAGCGGTTACCAGTGATGCAGGACTTATAAATTGTGGAGAAAAATATGTTGAGCTTTTTATGCTCTTTGTCAAACCAGCTTTTGATGCTGTATCTTTGATATGATGCCTATCTATTTTATTTTTATTGGTTAAAAAAAACTTCTGAAACCTCAGAATGGCTGTGTTATAATTAGGCCAGGATGTGGTTTCCTGAATGAGACCTGAAATAGAATAGTAATTATTTAGAACAGATTGTTTTTCTGTAGTAGCTTGGTTCATGTGCTTCTTCTCTTGATGAGGTAAACTCAGAGATGGCCTAAGTACAAAGAAAACTAGGTGGAAAGCTTAAAATTTAAATTTAAGGCCAGTAGCACATGATCATTATTTGGATGGGGGGGGAAACATTGTTTATTAGACCAAACTTTGATAATTTTTACCCAAAGCAGAAGGAAAGTCTCCCAAACTGTCAACTGCTCAAGGTTTTGTTTACAATAAATAGTTCCAATGAATTAGCCATTTGTGCCAGTTTAAACCTTGCCAAATTACTTTTAACATTCTTTGAAAGCATGTCCTCGATGATTAAATGGCAGCTTTGATATTTTGTAAAAAAAAAAAAGCCTTATAATTAATTCCCTCTCTAGCATTTGAGTTTTCCTCAACAAGACTGTATCATTAGCAAATGGGAAATTAAATGAGCCCATTTAATTTATTTATATTAAATAAAGTGACACCATTTTCCAAAACAATATTGTGATGTCATACACCAGCAGTTATACAGAGTTAAATACATTTGAAGAAGAAAGCATCTATTAGATATAGAACAATGTGTTTTAGGATTCTAGCAAACAGTATTATTTCTGAAGAACTATCAATGTATAGTCCTGAAATTTAATCAGAAAGATCCACCAAAAGCTTAATTAATCCAGAATAAACTTCTCCAAGTAGGAGTTATAGTCCCAATGTAACTGGAGGATATCACAGTGAGGAAAATTGGAAAGCTCATCCTTGCTTCAGTTTAGAGAGATTCAAGAGAGATTCATTAACATACAAGATGTTAATGCCTACTAACTTTATTCATCTATAAATAATTTGGCAATGCAGACAGCCATTCTTCCCATTTCTAGACAGGTAACAGGCTGTCCATCAGAGAACTTGATTGGATTGTGCTATGAATCAAAGTCTTCTGAATTAATGCAGATATTTCAGCCCAAGGGACTCTGGTCCTTGCAAATATTCATCATTTGCCTTATTATGAACAAAGAGATTGGGTTACAACAGCCTCTCTGTCATGCCCCTGGTGGAGACTGACTCTGAGGAAGAGGAGGAACAGCCAACAGGGAGTGGGAGTGTGGCTCCAGAGGTGATGGAGGAGGCTGGGGAAGGGCAGAGGCTGGCTGAGCAATCAGAGGAGGATCCAGGCCCATCCCCTATCCATCCTGGGATCCCTGAGGAGAGGATCAGGGAAAAGCGAGGTCTACTCAGATTACCATGATCTTCCTCGTGGCTTGCAGCTGGGAGCTATGTATATAAGTTTGTAACTATGTAGTCAGAATTGCTGGAGTCAAAGTTTAGTTTAAAGTTTTCTTTGAAAGAGTTTTATCTTTGCTGGCATTCTTCCCATGGACTCTCCTCCCTTATCTTTCTGGAATGTATGATAAATTATCTTGGCTTGCTTTGGAACTCTCTTCAATGCAGTTTTTTTTTTTTCTTTTTGCCTCATTATTTACTTTTGTGACTTTAAACTGTGCCTAATAAAACAGTGAAGTTAAGTTGAAGGCATTACCGGACTTTAATGTATGTTTTGGGTTTTGGGTTATTTTGAGAGACTACGGGTCATCACATTTTGACTCCAGCCACCCCTTCAACTTATTTTTGCTTTTTGTGGGGTGACCATGGATCAGCTCAGAGCAGAGATTGCCCAGTTTAAGCCAGCAAGTGGCTCCTTTGACTGCCCAGGTGGTACAAATGCAAGCTGCCTGGCCACGCCGAAAATGCCCAGTGGCAGTGCCAGATAAATTTGATGGTTTGCTGGCCCAATTTCCAGCATTTTTGGGGCAGTGCCAGCTTTACATGAGCCTTCGGCCTGAGGACTTTCCCACTGACCGGGATAAGGTGGGGTTTTTGATTAGTTGTCAGGCTCTGCAGCACGTTGGGCAACGCCTCTGTTGACCCAGCCCAACGACGTGTTGGACAATTATGCCGAGTTTTGCCGTCAGTTTCAGGCCATGTTTGAGGACCCTGTTCGAAGCCAAACAGCAAACAGACGTTTGAGAGAGTTGAAGCAGAAGCTTGGCTCACTCATGGATTATATTGCTAATTTTCGGGTGGTTGCGCAGGATGTACAATGGAATGAGGCAGCACTATTAGACCAGTTCCAGGAGGGTTTGTTGTCAGAGCTCCTGGATGAGTTGGCGCGCACTGAATGCCCTTGCACCCTTCAGGAGCTCATGCATCTATGTCTTTGTATCGATGCTAGACTTCAGCAGCGACGGGTGCGATGACAGACAGAGACCGTATCTGTTTCCAGCAAGTGCCTTTGGAGGAACCCATGCAGTTGGGGGCTGGCCGCCCTTGCCTGACTCAAGTAGAAAAGGATAGACGTCGTCGTGATGGTCTATACCTCTATTGTGGCAATCGAGGCCATTTTGCAGCCAAGTGTCCTATTAAGACATCCACAGCAGCTACGCCTGTGGTGGCAGGAAATGAGCATCGCTCGACCTATGGGGGTCTGTAGGTCAGGGTGTAAAGTCCTTAGGCCCACCATCTTCACCAACCTTACCATCCTCGCCACCTTTGACATCTCCACCACAATTGTTATTGGTGAAGCATCTTGTGCTGACAGCAAGTGTGTTCGTGCCTGGTGTGGGAGCAGTGGAGATCCAAGATTTGGTCAACTCAGGGGCCACAGCCAATTTCATGGATGCTCATTTTGTCAAGCAGTGGTTCATTCCTCAGCAATAGGTGTCCCCGCCAGTAATGGTAGAGATGATTGATGGTCGGCCCCTACGTTCGGGACCTGTGGTTGCTGCAACCAAACCCCTTTGCATGCGTATTGAGCAGCATGTGGAGGAAACCGTGTTCTACATTACCGCAGTGCCTCATTTTAACTCTCGATAATGCGGGGTTTTTTTGGTTTTCTTTTTGCCTCATTATTTACTTTTGTGACTTTAAACTGTGCCTAATAAAACAGTGAAGTTAAGTTGAAGGCATTACCGGACTTTAATGTATGTTTTGGGTTTGGGGTTTTTTGAGAGACTATGGGTCATCACACTCTCAGCTCACAACATTCTGTTGTAGACAACTGCTGTTTGTGGTTCTTCCTTTATCCCCTGTCTGCTTCTTCCTGAGGCAGTGCTTTTTGTTCTTCCTTGGCCGAAACAGGAGTATTACTCAGCAGGTTTGGATATAATCCAGTTCATTTTTTTCAGCCTCCAAATCACTTTACGATCTCCTGACGTTAGCTCTCTCCATCTGGTCGTCGGAGATCATTTGTATTTTCAGGCAGCGCTGTTTCGCGCCCGAAGCGGCCGGCGGCTTCAGCATTGCTCCGAGCCTCCCCCCCATCTGCTTGTTCTACCCCCTGCCATTGTGATTCCGCATTGCCTTTCTCTATATCGGCAATAGTGGCGTGGGCGTTTTTGCTCTCATCCGAGTCGTATTGTTTGAGTTCTCCCCTCAGAACGCCGTCTTGGTGTGGAAAGCAGTAAGAATTCTTTCCACTCCTTCCCCCGCCGTTCCTTTTAGCCACAAGGAGAAGCCATCGGAGGCATTTCCCCACACGGCAGGAGTTTGTTGCTGGGAAGCACGCGCACACCCAAAAAAACGGCCATTGTTTTTGCCTTTACTTTTTAAAAAAAACTGCATGTCCGCGCTATTTGTAATCGAGCTGTGTGAGGTAGTTTTCCTTGCCGATCAGAGGTTTTTTCCTTCTGATAATCTAAGGAATTATTACACCTCATTTTCTAATTAGATTCGAGGCCATCCGTGTATTATTGTTGGCTTAACCCTCACAGCCTTACCCAGCGGCACAACAGCGAGCACCCAGGCCTGTGTCTGCCTGTGCAGGGAAGCTGTTGAAGGCCTCTCTTTATTATCTTGGCCTTTCAAGCGTTCTTAATTTGGCTGTTTGGATATTCACTCTATCAAGCTGTTTCTCTATTAATTTAGATATATATATAGATATAGATATTGGTGACTTTCATTCATAATAATAATAATAATAATAATAATAATAATAATAATAATAATAAT